ACATCAGTTTATAATGTAAATGTTCTGTGTGTCCCCAAAAAGTTCTTTGTATACTATTCGTTTTAGTATTGACAGTGTTTTAAAGCTTTGAAAGAGCAATGTTCTTTTAGAATCTTAAAAGGATGACATCTATGATGAGTATAAACTAAAATATTGTGTTGCCATATTTGATTTTACTATAGCATCTAAGATTGGATAGACACTTGATTTATCTGGTCTGTCATATAAACTTTTTTTTTTAGTTTAACTTTGGTCGCTTTCTCAAGCGCTGGCTGTCTGTTGCAATGAAAGCCTTTTATAAAATAGAGAGATTGAAATCAGTCCTTTTGTATGCATAAGTGTAGGTAATTATACTTTAAAGAGAACTTGCTTTGTACATTTTAATTTTTATAAAGAAACGAGCAGTTATCTCCCTGACACCTTATTAAATGTATAATTAACCTTATGATCCCTAGCTCACTTGTGAATGCTTGGCAGTATAATTGGAGAGGAATAGTGTTTCTTTTTTTCCTCTTTCTTTGCAGTCCTAAACCTTATTCTGTGGTTGTTGAAGCATTAGTTTAATTTTTCCCCCTTTCTTTTTAAACAAACTTTATACTTGCAGTGCCAAGGACAGCTTTCACCAAAGCTTGGCATAGCTTGCACTTGTTTTCTTTTTTCTTGCCTTAAAAAATAATAGTTGACTGTTAGGCCTTCCTGTTCATAATAATACACTACTGTATTATCGTGAACTTTCTTAATTGGAAATATTCACTTTGATCTGCTTGTTTATCAGAAACCTTCACATACTGATTAATGTTTTAATTTTTAGAGATGTGGTGCAATTGCTGAACAAACCTCGATTTTGTTGGTGTTCTTTATTAGGAATTCCAGAAAACCAGGAAAGGTACTGTGCTTTATTTGCTAACAAATCAATGATGCTATACATGTCTTGCTCAGAAGTATTGAATTTAACATAAAAGCCTGTGTGGGTCAGGACCTTATCTGAGAACACTATAGAAATTCAAGACTTTGCTTGTCTCTACTTAACTTACTTTTATAGGATATTGATAGAGTCAGTTTTGGCTTTCAGCTGTACTGGAAACGTAAAACAGTTTCATGCAGGAATTCCCCCTTACACAGTTATGCATTGAGAGCCCCAAGAAAAGGCCCTTAGAACTGCAAAATTAGGCCGGGCATACTCGCACCTGTAATCCCAGCAATTTGGGAGGCCAAGGTGGGTGGATCACTTAAAGTCAGGAATTTGAGACCAGCCTGGCCAACATGACAAAATCCTGTCTCTACTAAAAATAGTAATAATAATAATAATAATAATAATAATAATAATGAAATAGAAGATTAAAATTATGTTGCTTAGGTCACTTTGGTACATTCAACAGTGCAGAAGTACTGCCAAGGGAAAATCCTACAGTGTCTCCCATCATGTGGCAACTTTTGAGCATTTATCAGATAAATGAGCCACTTGGCTTTCAAATTGATACGGAGACATAAATTAATGTTCTAATTTGTACAATTACCTTATTTATACTAGAAAAGGGGTGGGTGGGTGTGTAATAGAACCAAATCCTTTAAAAAATTTTTTACTATTTAAAAAATTCTGTGGGTACATACTAGGTATATTAAATTCTATTTTGATGTTTAACAGTAAAAATAAAATTAAATTTCAAAAAAATTTTCTTAGATCTGATTTTACCCCTTGTACACCAGAAACTACATTCTTAGTTTATTTGGGTTCTTTATGGAGTTTCAAACCACATGCCAACCGTGATGCTTGTTTTTTTTGAAATTGGGAGGTCTCCATTTTCCTTAATTTCTACACACTTCCCCTAAATATACCTACACTCTAAAAATTTTGCTTCATTGCATCTGTGGGTTATGTATTTACTACAAACAACCCTCTTAGAAAATATTTAATTGCCCTTTCTTTCAGAGAGGCTACATTTTTATATTTGTGATTAAAAAGTATAAGGAATCTAAAAAGCACATGTCAGTCCACATGTGAGACTGGGCCAGGGGCCTATTGCTTGTCCAGGAGATGGGACGGGAAATTCACAGCAATATATCTGCTTAGAACATTCCTCCCAGGGGAGTTTAAATAGAAGAAGCCCTTGTAGGTCCAGGTGTGGATTGACTCAATAAACATGCTATAAAAAGGAGCTAGGATTTTTAAGATGTCTGTTAAGTGTTCCACTGTTTGACAGTAGAATAGTTAAGCCAGATTTTGCCCCTCTTGGTGAGATGGGAAGAGGGCATAAATGTTTATATATCCATCATTGATTTATCCAGCAATGTTGGAGCAGGGCTGGAAATACTCAGCGGATATTCATTAGGGCAGAGCAGTTTTGCATTCACTCGCTACAGGATATAAAGCTGTAGCCCAGTCTGCATATTCCTGGAAGAATTCAAGTCAAATTTCAGTGAAATCCTAGAAATGCTCTTTTTTTGTATGTCAAATGGATAAAACTTCAGAATGTTTTAAGTGAATTCTTCACAATTTCATCCATCAGTTGTGGCATCTACAGATAGGGTTGTTATCTCTTCTACCCTTGGGATCTCAAACTTCTTGGTATGGTCACCTCTTGGCAAAAGAAGCAATCTTTATCATATTCTAAAAAAAATTCATAGAAATATAAGTGGAATTGCATTAACTTGTGAAAAATGCTGGTTTGTTTTAGCTGTAGATTGTTGAGTCAGTATCAAATGCTAAAATACAAGGGAAAATAGTATAGGCAGTTCTGTTGTAATTATTGTGAAAATTTTTAATATACTGTTGATTTGTCAGTGTTCTATTTCACTGTTATTTTGAGGTTTTGGTAATACTACCTTTATTTAATTTCCTAGGCATCAACTCTGAAATCTCTGTCAGAATTGATTCCTGAATTAAATGAAAAGGAAGAAGCATATAATTCCCTCATGAAAAGCTATGGTAATATATGTTTAATCTGACTATATTATTTGATTATTCAAGTGGCTTTATTATTTAAGTGACTATATTATGTAAATGACTTATAGTATAGTCAAGTAAGTCTTAGTCTTCAGCTCAATGGCAGTAGTCTCAAATATCAGATAAAAATATATTCCAGAACGGAGTTATTTATTATAATTCAGTTCTGGAATATATTTTTAAACTATATATTAAGAAAAATACTAAATTATGCATATAACTTTAATAAGTACCACTCGGCATCTTCCGAGCAGTCCAGGTATGTTCAGTAGCATCCCAGGCTCCTGGAAAGACCTGGAAATGCTCTTGGACTTAGGCCTGCTACCTGAAACCACTACAGATTTGAGACTCTCACTTAACCAGCTTTCTTGCTTCGTCAGTACATGCTCTCTGCCTGCCTGCGACTCCTTTGAAATGACAGACCCCTTGGTTAAAACGTAGCCCAAGGTGTTTAGGTCCCAGTTAAAATTCTGGTCTTTTAACCAGTTTGTTCCCTGATTGCCAGACAATCACATATGAAAGGAAACCAGTCTAAAGTTTCCTTAGTGATCAAAATAAATGTTAGCATCTCTCATTTGTGATCACCTCTCCAACGGCTGCCCACTGATTTGCTCACTGGAGGCATGGGGTAAATAAAGATTTATTGATTTTATCTGTGGCAGAACAACAGACTCAGCAATCAGAATTAGTTAAGTCAGTTCTGTTTTTCCATCCTTACAAGGAGAACATTCTGTATTTCAAAATAGAGCTATAGTCATAAAATTTCTCAAATTTCCAATAACTAAACACAGGCATACCTGGGAGATACTGCTGGTTGGGCCCGGACCACCACAAAAAAGCAAATAGAATGAACAAAGTGAGTTGACATGAATTTTTCCATTTCCCAGTGTATATAAAAGTTATGTTTATACCATAATGTAGTGCATTAAGTATGCAATAACATGATGTTTTTAAAAAGTACACACCTTAATTTTAAAATACTTTCTGTTAAAAATAGCTAAAGATATCTGAGCCTTCAGTGATTTGTAATCTTTTTGCTGGTAGAAGGCCTTGCCTCAATGTCGATGGCTGCTGAATGATCAGGGAGATGATTGCTGAAGGTTGAGGTGTCTTAAAATAAGACAGCAATGGAGTTTGCCACTTCCACTGACATTTCCTTTCACGAGAGATTTCGGTGTAGCGTGCGATAGTGTTAGCATTTTATCTGCAGTTGAACTTCTTTTAAAAATTGGAGTCAGTCTTCCCAAACCATACCATTGCTGTATCAACTAAATTTATATAATATTCTAAATCCTTTGTTGTCATCTGAACAATGTACACAGCACCTGTACACAGCACCTTCATCAAGTGTAGATTCCTTCTCAAGAAACCACTTTCTTTGGTCATCCGTAAGAAACAGCTTTTCATCATGTCGAGTTTGATCATGAGATTGCAGCAATTCAGTCACATCTTCAGGCTCCACTTCTCATTCTAGTTGTCTTGCTGTTTCCACCCCATCTGCAGTGATTTCCTCCATTGAAATCTTAAGACCTGCAAAGAGGGTCCCATTTATGAGGGTTGTAATCAGCTTCTCCCAAACTCCTGTTAATGTTGATATTTTGACCTCCTATCAATTACAGATGTTCTTTTTAAAATTTTTTTTTTTTTTTGAGACGGAGTTTCGCTCTTGTTACCCAGGCTGGAGTGCAATGGTGCGATCTCGGCTCACCGCAACCTCCACCTCCTGGGTTCAGGCAATTCTCCTGTTTCAGCTTCCTGAGTAGCTGGGATTACAGGCACGCACCACCATGCCCAGCTAACTTTTTTGTATTTTTAGTAGAGACGGGGTTTCACCTTGTTGCCCAGGATGGTCTTGATCTCTTGACCTCGTGATCCACCCGCCTCGGCCTCCCAAAGTGCTGGGATTACAGGCTTGAGCCACCGCACCCGGCCCAATTACAGATGTTCTTAATGGCATCCGGAAGGTTTTCAGTTTACTTTGCCCAGATCCATCAGAAGAATCACTATGTCAGTTATAGCCTTATGAAATCTGGGATATTTTTTTAAATTTTATTTTTAAAACATGAAATACTTCACACATTTATGTGTCATTTTGCACAGGGGCCATGCCAATCTTATCTGTATTGTTCCAATTTCAATCTATGTGTTGTTGAAGTGAGCCCAAAATGTGTAAGACCTGAAAGTCAAGATTACTCCTTGATCCATGAGCTGCAGAATGGATGTTGTATTAGGGCACCTGAGAACAACATTAATCTCCTTTTATATCTCCTTTAGAGCTCTTGGGGGACCAGGTGCATTATCGCTAAGCTAATATTTTGAAAGGAATCCTTTTTTCCCCTGAGCAGTAGGTCTCAACAGCAGGCTTTAAATACTCAGTAAACCATGTGTAAACAGCCATGCTGTCCTCCAGGCTTTGTTGTTCCATTTATAGAACACAGGCAGAGTAAATTTAGTGTAATTCTTAAGGGCCCCAGGATCTGGGAATGGTAAATGACCATTTGCCTCAACTTAAAGTCACCAGCTGCATTAGCCATTGAAAATAGAGTCAGCCTGTTCTTGGAAGCTTTGAAGCCAGGCATTGACTTTCCCTCTCTAGCTATGAAAGTCTTTGATCTAATATAAGGCTGTTATGATCTGCATTGAGTGTTTGTCGTTTAGTGTAGCTGCCTTGATTTTCTGCATCAGCATTTGCAGTTTCACCTCGGACTTTTATGTTATGGAGAAGGCTTCTTCCCTTAAAACTCCTGAACCAGCCTCTGCTAGCTTCAGACTTTCCTTTTATAACGTTTCTGCCTCTCTCAGTAATGTTAGGGCCTTGTTCTGGATTAGGCTTTGTCTTAAGGGAATGTCGTGGCTGGTTTGATCCTCTATTCAGACCAATAAAACCTTCTCCATGTCAGCAGTAAGGCTGTATCACTTTCTTATCATTTGTGTGTTGAGTGGAGTAACACTTTTGATTTCCTTCAAGGACTTTTCCTTTGCAATCACAACTGGCCGTTAGCCGCAAGAAACCTAACTTTCCTCCTGTCTCGGCTTTTGACATGCCTTCCTCACTAATATAAACTTAATCATTTCTCACTTTTGATTTAAAGTGAGAGATATGACTTTGCCTTTTACTTGAACACTTACAGGCTCTCATAGGGTTTTTAATTGGCCTAATTTCGATACTGTTATATCTCAGAGAATAAGGAGGCCTGAGGAGAGGAAGATGGGAGACGGAAAAATTGCTGATCAGTAGAACACACATTTCTCAAGTTTGCTGTCTTATGTGTGCCTGGTTCATAGCACCCCCCAAACAATTACAACAGTAATACAAAGATCACCATAACAGATAAACCAATCATGAAAAACTTTGAAATATTTCAAGAATTCCCAAAATGTGACACAGAGACAAAGTTAGCCCATGCTGTCGGAAAAATGTCATTAATAGACTTGCTCAAGGCAGGGTTACCACAAACCTTCACTTTGTAAATAACACACATCTGTAAAGTGCATTAAAGCCAAGGTATGTCTGAAATAGTGTCAAACGCATAAAACTATATATGTTAGTATTAAATTAGGTAATCCAACTTGGGAGGAGGGTAGAAAATTCAGGAAGAAAGGCAAGATGCTGGAGTTTTCAGAACCACTTCCTAGAAGATAGAGCTAGACCCCTTGACAGTAGTAGGGAAAGGGTTCAGGTCCTTAGGGTGGGAAATAAAGATTTACACAAGAAATTGACTTCATGGAAACAGCAGAGATCTGTTTCAACTCCACGAAGAGCTGATGAGTCATTCACCCTCATTCCACTTTGGGAGACTGATTGCTGAACTTCTCACATCCATCTTAGGGGTTCCCCTGGTGTTACTGGAGTTGAGATTGACTATATCAGAGTCAGTGTAGGGCAGGGGTTTATTTGGTGCTTAGATGCTAACAATCTAATGCAAAACTAAAGAGTTGAATTACCAGTAGTAATTGTCAGCAGAGCCCTTATCATCTCGATGGTAAACTAAAAAATTTCCACCAATCAGCCACAAGTAGAGAGCCAGCCAAATTTGGCTCCTAAGCTATTTCATCATTTACTTAAGTGAAATACTAGTGTAACTTGTTAATGTCTCTTTACATGTTTTGTGTGTGTGTCACTGTAGCTAACTATATTCTCCATATTTATTTTACAATAGAAAAATGAAATAAAAGTTACTTTGGTGTTCAGCTGATGATCTGGATGTTGATGTAGATTTCCACATAATTTACATGCCCCTCTCCACAACAGTCCCTGGATTATCTTGATTTCAAAGTAGTTTTAAGCAAGAGGGAATTGAGTGGTGCATGCATATTATTTTATAACTGAAGACTTCAGTTTGTGGTCACTTGAACTATCATAGGTCTTAAAAATAATATAATAACCTAAGTTAATGGGATCAGTAATATTCTAAAGACCTTTAAATGTAGCCATATTTGTCATTTTCTTCTCCTTCAAAGTGAGTGATGCTGAATGAGGGATGTAGAGAAGTGAGGGAAATGGTGGATTCTGAATGTGGCTTCTTACTGAAGGTAGTTAAGTATCACTCATTTGCCATGGGATAAAGGGATCCAGCCGTCCCTGAATGGCTGTTTTGGTGAAAAGAGTAAGATAAATTGTCTTTATCTATGATTAATATATTTTTTCTCTTTAACTATGTCAGCCTCAGAGAGAGATGTCACATCTGCTAAAGCACTGTATGAACATTTGACTGCAAAGAATATAAAATTGAATGATCTGTTTCTAAAGCATTATTCATTTTTGCTGAAGAGTGCTGGAGAGCCTGTCCCTTTCACAGAACCCCCTGTGAGTATTTCTTAAGGAGGGAAAAATACCTCTACAGATTTATGTACGCTTCATAACAATGTGTAAGAAAATAAGTTGAAGACTTAATTACATGAGGATTAGATCTCTGTGAAGAACCCTCAGGGGATGGCTTGAGGGGCTGAGCAGCGTGCCTTGGCTGCAGCACTGGGAAAACATAGCTCTCTGGGGCCACAGCTTAAAATACAAGGTCTGTCTCAGACCTTCAGCTAGAGGCATGGATTTATCAAATGTCCTTGGGGCAGTTCTCATCATTTCAACTTGAAATAGGATTCAGTGGCCTGTAGTTCAACAGCCAAGCATATTATGTCACTGGTAATTACTTGTTCATTTACATAAGTTGGCTTTTATTTCTTCATCCAGGACATTTTGTTTTCTTTAATAAGAGAAATCACATATGCACAATTCCCTTTTGTTGTGTCATTGAACTGAAAGTCACTACACCATGTTTATTTCAAACACCTCAACCTTCCGTACCTCCATACATGTGCATGCACACACGCGTGCACGCACACTAGCTCTTGCTGCTAGCTTTAACTCTGAATCTGAGGCCCTTGAACTTGTGATTTCATGAAACAAGGAAGGAGTGCTGAAGCTTGAGGGGCAGCATCTGCTGTGGGCCTGGCAGTCTTAGCTGCCAGTTGATAGTGTTTTATGATTTTCTAAGTTTTGTACTGTCACCTCTTGCTGGTACCTTTATCTCTAACTTCCCTCTTTTTACTCCTTAACAGGAAACCTTTGAATTTTATGCACAGCAGATAAAAGAATCGAAGGAAAACTCTTCATGAAATAAGCAGGCGATACTTTGTTTTGTGTATATTTGTGATTCTGTGTCTACATGTTATTTTTAACTGTATTTGAAGGGAAAAATAAATGAAAAATTCATGTCCTTTATGTATGATACATGTTCAAAGTCAACAATAAGTGTACACTTGGTTATTGGGCGTTTTTAGAGTTTTTTCCTCTGGCATAAATTGATAGCTTTTTCTTCAGTGCTGTTCTTTTTCAGGATTCTTCTCGCACTTGGCTCTTCGGTTTCCCTGCTCTGTTTCATTTATTATTTTCATTAAAGTGTTATTCCTCTACTTAAGACTCACTTATTAGTCTGCTGTTTCTCTGAAAAATTTTAGAGCTAGATACAGTAATAGTGGGTTTTCTAATGCATAATATTGTGTAATATAGCAATTCCTTACATGTGTGAAGTCATGCATAACTTTCTAATTTTGTAAAATGTTGGCACTGAGAGTCATCAGATCTAGCCTACATCACTTTCCAGTGAGAGGCAGAGACTCAAAAGGCCAGTCACTTGTGCTTGGTCAGGGGGCTCTCTGTCATGCCTGGAGGCTCTTCGGCACACTTTCCCCCTCTTTCCCTTCTGCCACTATTGCTTCCAAGCACCTCTATTCATAGAAGTCTCTGAAAGTGAGCCTCACTCGTGACTTATCCCAAAGTAAAGTGATGCTTTTCCTCTCATTTTAGTTTCACGACTTTGTTACATGAGCTCTACCCTAGGCCTATTACTTTATACTTATATCCTGAGAATGTGATTTCATCTGTGAAGGAGTAAAATACTGGTTTGTGTTTTTTTGAAATAAAAGTTATCCCTATATTGACTCTCATGCCTGTTACTGAAAGTAGGAACTTCAAAAAAAAATTCTAAGATAGGTAGTCAAGAAAGTTTGCCATTACAAAGATGTCTTGATACGGAATATTGACCTAACTGGAGATGAGGTAATTAATTACCAAAATGTTGAAAATGTTCTATTCGAGAACTCTCCCCATTTTGGGGTATTCCTTGTTCATTTGAATTTGGTGACTGCCTACTGTTCCAGTTTCAGTGCCAGCTTGGGTCTCACTGTTCACGTTGGGGGAGACCTTGCCTTGGGGACATAGGTGGGCCTCTTGCAATTTGTGCTGTTGACCTTCTGTCTCCTGGGACCATCTCTCCTGCACCTGCTACCTCCCTGCAGATGGCATGAGAGGAAGGGTTGATGGCAGGAAGCCAGGAAGTAGGTGTCATTGTGGTATTAGCCAGGCTTTTACTTCAACTGTTAGTGGCTTTCGATTTAAGGAAGCAGGGCCTTGGCCAGTGCTGAGTCTTGGTCCAGTGGACGTAGTGTGGCTTTCCCTGGAGTACTGCCCGGGTGTAGGACCTGCACATGGTACAAGTTTGCCTAGAGCCTTACTTTTTTTTTTTTTTTTTTTTTGAGACAGACTCTTGCTCTGTTCAAGCTGGAGTGCTGTGGCACAATCTCGGCTCACTGCAGCCTCTACCTCCCAGGTTCAGGTGATTCTTGTGCCTCAGCCTCCCAAGTAGCTGGGATTCCATGCATGTGC